AGAAAGTTAGAAGGAAAGTGTAAGTGTCACGTAGCTTGGTGAGGAAGAATGTAAGTGCTACGTAACTTGTCGAGGAAGAGTATCACGTAGCTCGGTGAGCAAGACGGATGAATGAGTAAAGGAATCTCTTTGAAGCTGCGCACGTCGTAAACTGCTGCTGTCTCTATCCGTCTCTTTTCTTTGCTGACTTGTCTGGTCTAGAAGCTTTGCATAATACTCTTCAAAGGGATTACAAAGCTTGTTTATTTTATTGTCGGTGGGAACGCGAACCATTGGTTGAAAAACGTTAAATATTTTCATTCAAAGTATTAATTTATTAACCGGAATATTGCGCGGATCCTCCCACTCAGAAACCATTTTTTTTTTAACATTTGATGATTGACTGTCTTGGTGTTCATTTCCGTCTTTGCCTCACAGTCGAGACTGTCAGCTGTATACAACCGCTTTCTCAGAACAATAATTAAAATGTTTTTGACCGAGTGAAGCCTGTGTCTTTTGAAGCCCGTGTCTGGACTGTCGCTGTAAAATCCCAAACAAACAATTGCATCAAACCACAGAGACTGCGTTACTTGAGGACATTCAACGGAAGAAAAGCCCAAATGGATATCGCATGTAAGTCGAAGAGAAAATAAAAACTTCATAATCAAGACGTTGATGTTGCAGAATACTTCAAGCAAAAGCCTAGAAGAAAACTTCCAGCAATAATAGAAAGAACGATAGCAGCTATTTTCCTAAGACGTGTTTTAAAAGAAAGATTTTATAAATTTCAATCAATATCAGTACTGTGTGCTTGATCAATTAATGATGAATGGTTCCTTATAAGGAAACAGTTAATATTATCATATATATATATATATATATATATATATATATATATATATATATGTGTGTGTGTGTGTATGTATGTATGTATGTATGTATGTATCTATAAAAAAGAATGTATAAGCATAAAATATCTTAAAATCATTGTCGGACTTTGTCCATTCCATAATGTGTGACGTCACTTGTTTACAGTTGGATACGCATCGAACAGATATGGATGTACGAGAGAAAATCATGGAGAACTGTAGTTTAAAAACAGTAAAATCGACCTTGCTAACCGAAACTCTCCTCTGTGGCTAAATTGGGAAAAGCACGTAAAGCTATATATGTAAGGTTCGATTCTTGTCGGAGGACGCATATTTTCTATAAAAATTTCTCGGGCATTGATTCCAGTAAATGTCGTTAATACTGTTTATAATAAAGAGACCACTTACTTAAATATTTGTATCTATAAAAAGAATGCATAAACATAAAAATGTCTTAAAATAATTGTCGGACTTTTTCCATTTCATATATATAACGATATACATTTTTATATATCAAGAACAATACTGGGGAAATGTTGTTTGACAAAGTGGAAAAAAAAGTTTTCATGTGTGGTGTTTCGTCCTTAAGGACATCACTGGACTAAATTTGAAATGCAGATGCGACTACACATCCACACGAACGAGGGATGCTGGGAATTCTTTTTTAATCTAGCCGATTTAATTTAGATTCTTTTTCTTTATCTTTCCGTCAATTTGGGTTAATAGATATCCAACACTGTAATAAGTGTTCTTATTACAGTTTGGTATAGGTTATGGTCCAAGTTCCTTGTAGCACGGTGATGGTCCAAGTTCCTTGTAGCACGGTGATGGTCCAAGGTTAGAACCAATGAAAGAATAACACGAACACAGGTATGGAATACAAAGATATATTACAACAGAAAGACGTCTAGACGTCCGACTGCTTCAAACCGGGATAGAAACACGACTGATTTGGTATCAGTCAGAGATACGGGTCTATATTTGTGCACGTTATAAGAATACAATTCTAATACAGAAATAATTGGTGAGGTTATTAGGCGTACAAGAAAAGTGGGATTCTTACTCGGTGTAAAATTAAAAGATTTATGCTTACTATTTACATTATTCGGACAATTGTACTCATCTTTGTCGCCATATTTATTACAACGTTCCACGTGCCATGTTTAATGGATGTCACTTATCAGTTATCTCCTGTTAATTACCCTCTGAAAGTTCTCCACTGCCTTAACCGGGTATTGAACTCACACTCTTTGGGACCTTGTTACTGGATCTAACTAACGTCTTTATCCACTGTGCCATGTGTCCTTGAGGAAGTAGAACAGTCCACCCCAGTGAGCGAAATAAAGGGTTCAGTTCGACATTCCAACCACCTGAAGAAGGCTGGAGCGTACAACGGCCGAGACGTTGTAATAAATATGGCGACAAAGATGAGGGTCAATAGTCCGAATAATGTAAATAGTGTACATAATACCTCATCTCAGTAATATAGACAGATTCAGATTAATGTCTGTTTGTTTAGTGACATACCATCACCTTATGGGTTATTTAATGCCGAAATTTAATTTTTGTTGGGAGTATTAGTAATTTCTTTTATAAAAGTGTATTGCTGGTATTTTATTTGTTTATTTTTTTAAATGCATTACTGGTAAATTTTTACTATGAAAATGTATTGCTTCTCTGAATGTAATTTCAGAACAAATTTATACTTTTTGGTTTTCTTTCCTGCCGCAAAAGCTAGTCAGCACTGTCCTCTCGTTTGTGACACTATGAGTTGGATATATGCGCACGCGTGTGTGTGTGCGCCCGACCCAATGACTAGATTAGGAATCTAGATAAAAACATGTTTTGGACATATGGCCAAAAGGGTAGATAAGTGTTAAGTATTCGATAGTTAAAAGACCGGCTCTGGTCAAAACTTAAAAGGGTCTGAATTTAATGTCCCTGGATCGGAGACAGCTAGGCTAAGAAATATTTTTATGTCCACTTTTCTTCAAAGGGAGAAATGGCCATGAAAAAGTTATGGGTTTATTCGTGGGTGTCCCTTCCCCGGAAATGATGACAGAGGTCTCTATATATATATACGGGAACGCTTGGGTTAGTAGCAGACTTAGTTTAGGTTCGAGGAAGGGATTCAGGCCGTAGCAAGTAGCAACGAAGAGCGACACGCTAGCAGCCGGACATAGTTAGTTAGGATATATTTTTTTTGCCAGCCGTGAATCAGCCCAGAGTTAACTATCCACAAAAGGTCACAAGCCCTCCCTCCTCTTTTCGTTCTATCCAAGTTTGTAGTCGTGTTTTTCTTTTGCATGTGAACCTGCCTTTCGCTCGATCCACCGCACAGAAATTCTACGACGTGGGGTCTATATCTTGTGCAACGAGTGCAGAAGTGGGTAGCTTCACACGTTCGTGGACTTTCATTCCGACGATGCGTGAATGAACAATAATTTTCACCAGCTAACGACCCAATATCACTTAGATTCCTCTACTTTTTGTGTCCGTCACTTCAAGACGTTGACGGTCATGGCTCTCCACAACTTCCAGTCCCTTGTCTTTTTGCCATCTCTCCAAAACGGCGCTCCGCCATTCATTCATTCAAGTTTGCCAGGTAGGCTGTTGCTTTCCTCTGTCTCGCTTACCGTCAATCTATCCTGTGTGTATCAGATTTTCCAAACACTCTTTCCTCATTATGTGCCCCAGAAATGTCAACTGTTTCTCTCTGATGTTAGGCATATGTCAATTTTGTTGCCATTGTCTCTAGAATATCCCATACCCGGTTCATAGTATTCTAGCATCTTTCTGTAGAACCAATTTAACGTTGTTTCAAATCTCTTCTTCGTCAGTGAGAAGATTGTCCAGTATTCATTGTCATATAAGAGGACTAATATTACATAACAGATCAGTACATTTATCTTTACAATTTCAAATTATGGCGGGTTTAAATTCCTTGCTTTTGATTGGTGGAAAATAATCCGAAGGAATAATTTTTTTCTCGATCATTTTTCTGGAACAGTCGAATTTTATCACAAGCCAAAAGTCATCTGAACCCTGATTGGTTAATAAATTCAACGCTCTTAGCCACGGGTAAGGAATATAGCATTATAGTTTTTCACATAAACTTTTATATTGCGATTGAGTTATCTTCCTTCATCCCTGTCTTCATTTTTTCTTTCGTTATTCTTTCATTATCTTCTCTATATTTTCTTCCCCCGTTCATTTCTTTCCTATTTCTTTCTTCCTTTTCGTAGTAAGTAAATTCCTTCAACTATGTGTCTTTTCTCTCTTTCCCTTCTTCTTTTCCCATCACCTTTTTTTCCCTTTTCATTATTCTTTGTACTTTTCTTTCCTTTTTTTCGCCATTATTCCGATATGCTGAAATCCAAGAATTGCATGTCTTTGTCAGCGGCTTAGAAGAGGATTCTTTTAAAGAATCATCAGAGTCTTGCATTTCGTGTTTTTACCTTGCATCTGGAGTTGGCACCAGGAAGATCCCTATCAACTTCATTTACTCTTTGAATGACAACTCTCTCGAAGGAATGATTGCCGCCGTAATGTCTATTGTTTGCCGAAAGAATAGGACGCCATTACGGAACTGCTTTAAAGAACATTTCCTGTAAGGAGCATTCACGGTAAAAAAAAAAAAAGAAAAAAAAAATGGATAAAAAAAAATGATTGAAGACATGAAAGAAAATATTCTTCCCTTAATGAAAAAAAGAAACAGAGAAGCTTAAAAGATATTATAAATGATAAGGTATTCATAGATATTTTCTTTTTATTGGACATTTGGATATATAACCTGATAAGGATTTCTAAACAAAAGTCATAGAATTCAGATGTAGGTCATTGCTTCTAGAAAACGCTAAACGATATTTAGCATTGATTGATTGATTGATTTTTTTTTTTTTTGATTTTTTTACAGTTTACCAACATTTACCAAGTTATTTAAAGCCAGTAAATAGTTTTGGATTATTATCATTTATTGGTGATAATAATGATTTACTGATACACGTCATACTAATTAACCCATAGCTGAATGGAGAAGAGATGGTTTCATGACTTTTTCAAAGTCATTATAACGAACCCGATTAGATATGGAACACTGCTCTTCGTTTTCCAATTCTAAGCCGTTATTCGTTGCACCACCGCACCTCTAAGCTTACAGCACCTGATATTCCCAAACGGCCCCCCATCAAGGTACTGACAGGGCTCAACGTTGTTTAACGTTGTGATCGTTCGAGAACCGGTGTTTCAACGTGATTTTGGCAGTAAGCGTTATTTAATATTTCAATGTTATATGATGAATGCGATATTTACTTTTACTCATATTCACCCAAAACACGGCTCGAGTGCCACTCAATATAGAGGGCTACTTTATGGGGTTTGTGAAATGAATGAGGAGGCACGGTGGAATAATGGAAGCGGCTCTTATTGAGGAATTTGAGAGCCGAGTTCGAATTCCAGTCGAATCTATTACATTCACTCATGTGCTAATACACTTGGGAATGGTGTGAATCCTTTTCAACCCCCCAGGTATGGGTAAATAGCAGAACAAATCGGGTTCTGTAGTCTTGCATGGCAACTGGTCTACTGCAGAAAGAAATGGCAACCTACTGCGGGGAAAAATCTGCCACGTCAGTCATGTATCGAAAGATAGATGATCGCCTAAGCGTGTATCACGCATGGCACATAACTGACTGAATTCGAACTTAGCCTACGTATCTAAAACATAAGCGGTATTTAATATTTAATAGTTTTATGAAGAATGTGATATTTATTTTTTACTCATATTCACCAAATACACGACTCGAGAACGACTCATAATGGTGGATGAATGGCGGTGCAGGGGTTTGGGAGATATGGCCAAACGACAAAGGACTGGGAATTGTTGGGTTTGTGATATGAATGTGAGAATAGAAAGTAGGAAGTGAGACATGCGGATATGGAGGATGGACGGCGATTGTCCGTTGACATGAAGTGGTTAAAATTGAAACATTAGGAAAAGCATCCACACGGTGGTCGCTCCCACAAAGCATCGCTTCTTGGAAAGAAAAAAAAAGCCTTTTTGAGGGTAGCATTTGAAGTCATAAAAGTAAAGAATGATGGTCCCTGTGACATTTGCTATCGAAATAGCTATAGATTAGCGATAGGCATACGACGGTGCGTCTGTGTGGCAGTCACGATAAATACGTGATGCACCACAAGGACGCGTAAAAGACTTTGAAGTCTAATTAAGTTACCCAATATCACTGTTAACTTTGATAGCAGAAAGAAAAAAATAAGAAAAATATGTGTAGTCTATTGGAAGTCATTATTATCTACAATATGGTTGGAGCTAGAGTAAATTCGAAACAAAATTGGAGTCCATATGATATTCCGGTTGCTAGAAATGTTAACGAACGTGCTGAAAAACAATCAATGCTACCAGGAGTAACGGTAAACATGCAAGTAACAAAATAACAGATAGTGGTTCGTGTCTCAAACAAACCCTCGTTGCCACTTTTGTGATGTCAACGAATACTCCTGTGTCACTTTCGTAATGCTCGTTCTAGTAGAGACTTTGTAATCGCAGATACAACTATAGTAACGCCGTTGAACAATACTGGTGTCAGACGCCTTCGAATAACACTCACACTCATAGTGATCTGTATAGAAATAGTATAGTGAATAGAGTAGAGTATAGCGGTCCGTATAGTAATAAAGGATAGAGTAGAAATACAGATCCGAATAGTAATAGAGGATAGACCAAAAATTCAGATAATATTTATTGTACGAATGTACAAGTAGGGCACAAGGCCAAAAGAGGGATAGGGGAAAAGGATGTTCTTCTTCTGTCTTATTAAACTTAGCGTGCCACAAACACCGACGCAAACATACAAACAATATTCCTTTCACCAAAACAACGCATTCTTACTTACCTATCTTACTTCATTCACCATAGTGCCTCAGAAACTCTATGAAATCCTAACTAGTCCCCATATATACAATTCATTGACTGTGGGGGAGGGGGAATAAAAATAACAATTTAAAAATCTAAAAGCCCCAAATGTGTACAAAATTATATACAAGAAACCAAACAAAATTCTATTAGTAATAAAACCCCACACAGCCCTAACTGTGGCAGTAACATCAGTTAACTGGACGAAAGCAATGCGGGACTTTAAAAAAAAATAGAAAACATCCATACATCCCATGCACTCACTCAAACACACACTCATTTAAACACAAAAACAGTTACGAAAATCACACCCGCAACGAAAGTCGCCCTACACCCACCACACAACTGACATCACTATCCACCTAAAGATGGGACTATAAATGTAAATCGTTAGTCGTCAGCGACTTCCTACATATATGCGTTTCCTCTGTGGTCACGTGATCCACGTAATTTAATAATGTGATCCTCTGTGTTTATTCACTGGCGATCTATGTTCAAATTCAAGTGTCGGCACCGACAATTTATTCTTATATAACATAGGGTAACGCTTCGAGTTAGTGGTAAATTTTAACACCTCCAAAATGAAACTACTTTCATTTAATCACCACAGAGAACGTTTTCTGCCTGATGCTAACTACCAGGAGAAAAACATTTTTCTTGGCCTCACGTTTTCCACTGACATGAAGTTAAGCAACTACATCGAATCAACTGCTATATCTATTGCAAGGAAACTTCGCTGCTTCAATGTGTCATACAAGAAAATTTTTCTAGTCAGAATCCATCCTGCAAATTTATAAATCTACCATTCATCCATGCATTGAATACTGTTGCCATATCTGGCCTGGTGCTGTTGCTGTGTATATCGACATTCTTGATAAAATTCAAAGAAGTGTCTGCAATGTAATCAATCCTGACCAGGCATTTCGACGTCAGTCACTTTCTCACTGACATAATGTGGCTTCTCTCTGTCTTTTCTTCAATCAATGGTTAAGTGGTTAAGAAATGGCTTGTAAATTTTAACGCCTCCAAAAAAAAAAAAACTACTTTCATTTAATGACCACAGAAACATTTTCTGTCTGCTAAACTCCAGGAGTAAAACACTATACGCCTTCTTGGCCTTAGGTTTTCCACTAAGTGGAGAGGCTATGACGAATCAATTGCTACGTCTCCTGCAAGGAATGATGCTTCAGTCTCGTGCCAGAAAATCTTTCTCGTCAGAATCCATCTTATCCATTTATAAATCTACCATTCGTCTTTGCATTCTTGGTCTGTGGTTCCTGAGATTCTTGGAAAAACCCAAGGAACGGTCTGTAATGCAATCGATCCTGACCAGTCATCACGAATCCAGTCATTTTCTCATCGATGAGACGTGGCTTCCCTCTGTCTTTTCTATAAATATTTTTCTGAATAGCTTTTTTCCTAGTATCTCGACTGCATGAATTTCAGCGTGCTACTAGATTAACAAATCGGTTTCAGCGTTTTACTGTTGAACTATCAAGATGCAACCGCTATATCTACTCTAACAGTTCTTTCTTCACACTTCCCATCTGTGAAACTACCTTCCGATTTCTTGCTTCCCTGATAACTACATTCTTCAAAGATTTAAATGCAACGTCATTCACCATCTACCGTCTTTTTGAACCCTGTTTCTTTTTTGTCCTTTCATTAGTCCTCCCCATTTTCAATCTTCTCATTCACTTTCACTCCCTGTACCCAACCCTCTGCGTTCTAGCGTCACTTGCTTTGCTTCGAGTGAAACGATTAAAAATAAGTCCTTCGTTGTACACCCTTACAACGACCTTATTGATTCTAGGTACTATACGACCTTATACTCTGCCAGGAGAGGTTCTCTGACATTCTCTTAGTTAAACAATATTTAAAAAAAAGAATCTAAACAAACATTTTCAGCTCAGTGAAACGTCTCGTCGAAACGAATAGGAGTGTCAAAGTTAAGTAAAATTATGACAGTTTATCAGATCTTCAATTCACCTGAGGAAGAACGTAGAATGAATGAATTGAAACGTTGTAGAAAAAAATGGATGTTGATAATCGATTAAAATATTCTACAATACGTTTTTGTGCATTTTTATAGATTATATATATATATATATATATATATATATATATATATATATATATATGTATATAATTACATAAAAATGAAACTCAGATATACCCCAATTTGATGGACATTTCAAGCCCCGGGGTAATATCCCTGGTGCTTGTCAATGCGAAAACGTTTGTTAAAAAAATGAATTTTAACGGTTTTTTTTTATTTTGTTTCTTTTTTGTTTTTTTAATTTGAAAAATAAAAATAAAAAAGGGAAAGAAAGAAGAAAAAAAAGGATCAAATAACAAATAAAGGAAATGGCATTTAATAGAGAGATATAGAGAAAAATGAAAAGAGACATTATGTGAGAGTCCGGGAATGGAAGTCATAACATATACAAGTCTAGACAAGTTAAAATCAGTTTAAAATTATTAGGTTGGTCGCAAAAATAATGTCGTTTTCTCACATATGTTATTTTATATATGATTTCTGAATTAATTCATTGATATATATAGCCATGTTATATATCATTTTGAAACGCGTTTTTCGCTCTATCGAATCGTGTTATTCGTTACCGTTCTCAATCTCTTCATTCATTTTTTGCAGGCTTTTCGACAGCATGGACAAAATTCAAATCCGCACGATTTTCTTGTTCCAATTCAAACTAGTCCGAAAAGCTGCCGAGACAGCTTGTGATATCAATGATGCGTTTGGCCCAGGAACCACTAACGAACGTGTAGCACAACGGTGGTTCAAGAAATTTCACAATGGTGACGAGAGCCTCGAAGATGAAGACGGTCGTGGCCGGCTGACTGCGGTTGATAACGAAGATTTGAAAGCCTTAATTGAAGCCGATCCTCGCAAAACCACACGAGAAGTTGCTGTTGAACTCGAGGTCGACCACTCAACAGTCGTTCGCCATTTAAAGCAAATAGGGAAGTCAAAAAAGTTGAATAAATGGGTACCGCATGAATTGAACGATAATCAAAAAAATCGTCATTTTGAGGAGTCTTCTACGCTCCTTCTGCGCAACAAAAATGACCCATTTCTCGAGCGGATTGTGACGTGTGGGGAGAAGTGGATCCTCTACGACAACCGGCGACATTCGGCACAGTGGTTGGATGCTGGAGAAGCTCCACAACACTTCCCGAAGCCGAAATTGCACCAAAAAAAGGTTATGGTGACCGTTTGGTGGTCTGCGGCCGGTCTCATCCATCACAGCTTCTTGTATCCGGGCGAAACGATTACGGCGAAGTACTGCCGACAAATTGACGAA